GATTTCTTAAAATCTCACGTGTTTACGTTGTGTTTGCAATTTTGAAATGATCTGTGATGTACTACTTATCGTCCCTTTTCCAAATGAAGAACAAAATTTCAATAATCTCTTGGAATAATGTCAAAGTTAGACTAGTCTCCCGATTTGACGCGTCAATAGACTTTAGTCGTTTCTAAGAGCTATATAATGGCCTTATTGGCCTAAAACACATATGGTTTTACCTTTAAATGTTTTTCATGTGCTGTATTATATGGTATATAGCTTTGCACTATACTGCATATTTGTTTGGATAAATAGCAGTGTTTTGAAAACCGGACCGGACCGGCCGGTTCGACCGGTTGAACCGCGAACCGGCCATGGCTCCGGTCCGGTTCAATGCCAGGTTTGACTTTCTCAAGAAACCGGTCAAAAACCGGTCGGACCGCGAAACCGCTGAACCGGATGTGAACCGGTTATTTCCGGTTTTTGAGTTTTCCTTTTTTTTTTTTTTTTTTTTTTTTTTGCAAAATGTAGTTATCAAGATTCGAACTCAAGACCTTTGTAATAGAAGACCAATGTAGTAACCGTTGCACTATCACATCTTATTAGTTTTTTTTGATAACTTATTTATATAAAACAAACACTCATATTTCTTTTGTTCCATTTTTTTTATAAAATATCATCCTTTCATGACTCTTTCTTTTTAATCTTCAACACACACACACACACACACTCTCTCTCTCTATCATCTTTTCTTTTGCCACTCATTTTTTTAATCAAACCTCTTTATTTTTTATTTATTGATGTTTTCTTCCATATTTTAATTTTGTTTTTGTCCATTAAATTTAAAAAAGTTAAAAAAGAATTATTTTTCTTTAACCCAATTTATTTAATATCACAACCACTCACTTTTATCTCATTTTTTGTTTCTTATCAAATTTGCATTTCTATTTTCAATTCTCTTGATTTTCTTCGAACTCCAAACTTCCTTTTTTAAATTGTAAATTTAAATTCCAAAATGTAAATTAAAATTTAAGTTCACAATGTCTAAATTTTCATGGACGTGAATTTTGTATAATTTCAAATATTGTGATATTTTTGGATTATATTTAAGATTTTTTGGGTAGATATAATTGAAATTGAGATGAAATTTATTTGTTTTAACTTATAATTTAAAAAATTTATTTTTAAAAATCCAAATTATTCAAAAATAGTAAACTTTTCATCATATAAAGTATTAAATTATCCATTACATGTCTTATTTTGTACACATATATATTTATATAAATTATTTTTAAAAAAATTCATTGAACCGAGGTTGAACCGGTCCGACCGGTTGAACCTCGACCCTTTCACTTCACCGGTTCGATTAACGGTCCGGTTTTTAAAACATTGATAAATAGCTGTTAGACCAGTCCATTGTGACTTGTCAATAAAGACTTTCAGCTACGACTTGCCAAAGTTAGACGTTGGACTTTCCAGTACGTTGTGTGGAGGTGAGTGTCTTATTACTAGCTATAAAGAGGTTTCATACAAAACTAAACAAGTAAAAGGATAATATCAGAAACCTCCCTTGAGGTTCATCTAAAAATCACTTCGCACTCCTAAGGTTTTAGAAGTATCACTTATCTCCCCTAATAATTGTAAAACGACTATATTAACTCTTACTTGACACATAATTCACAACACATCAAATAAATGGAGGTCAAAAATTTTAAAAAAAAAAGAGAAACAAAAGTCACTTTTTTCTTTTTCCCTTTGCACCATCATTCTCTCTTACTCATTTTTTGGATGGCTATGCAATATTTTATTTGTAAATTATAACAAATTGAATTTTGTTTAACTTTTACTTTTTGTGATTATGATAAAGTGGGGTATATTTATTTGCTTAGTTTGAATTGATTTTCATAATGATTGGTACAGTTTAATGATTTGAGCAAGAGTTGAGAAGATGTTGGGAAAAAAATATAAATTTGGTAAGAAATCGTTTAAAGCATATACAGTTAAATTGATGTAAGTGTATTTCTTTTCAAATATCTTTTTTATTTTTCAAATTTATATTTTAATGGGGTATAACATTATGATGTAGTAGTACTATAAGAGATTGTTTTTGAGGTGATAGTTTTCTTAAAGTGAACAAAGTAGTTTAGGAATATTTTTATTTAGAAAGTGAAAGGGTAGTTTAGGGTTTTTAAAAATTTTGTTACACAAATAACAAAAGTAACCAAGGTAAGTGATATTTTTAAAATCTTAGGAGTGCCAGATGATATTAAAGAAAAACTCAAGGGAGGTATTTGATATTATCCCCAAGTAAAACGATCAATTTGGGATTATTGAAAAATAAATATATTAAGCCTCAATTTAGTTGATAGAAACATTAACCAAATAATGATGAGCTTTCAATTCGACTTTCAATTCCTCCCAATTCTCTAATCTCATTCATAAGGTTTAAATCAGTCTTTTGAAAATCGGACCGGACCGGCCGATTCCATCGGTTGAACCGTGAACCGGCCAACGCACCGGTTCGATTCTATACTAAAGTTGACTTTGTAAAAAAACCGGTCAAAACCGATGAACCGGGGGTTGAACCGATGGTTTCCGATTTTTCAATTTTCCCCTCAATATTTTTTTAAGTTTTGCAAAACACAACTGCCAAGGATTGAACTTAGGATCTTTGTGATAGAAGACCAATATAGTAACCATTGTACCGTCGCATCCTATAAGTTTTTTTGCTAAATCATTTATATAAAATAAACATCCATTTTTCTTTTCTCCATTTTTCTTACAAAATCTGATCCTCTCGTGACTCTTTCTTTCTAATCTTCAATTCTCTCTCTCTCTCTCCCCTCTTTTCTTTTGTCACTCCCTTTTTAATCAAATCTCTTTAGTTTTAATTTATTGATGTTTTCTTCCACCTTTTAATTTTGTTTTTGTCCATTAAATTGAAAAAATTTAAAAAAAAAGAATTATTTTTCTTTAACCCTAAAGACTAATTATTAAATGCCACAACCTCTCACTTTGATCTCATTTTATGTTTCTTATCAAGTTTGAATTTCTATTTTCAATTCTCCTGACTTCCTTCAAACTCCAAACTTTTTTTTTTAATTGCAATCTCTAAATCCCAAAAACGTAAATTAAAATTTATACTCACAATGTCTAAATTCCCAATGACATGAATTTTGTATAATTTTAAAATATTGTGGTATTTTTGGGGTGGATTTAAGATTATTTTTTGGTAGATATAATTGAGATTGAGATAAAATTTATTTGTTTCAACTTATAATTTAAAAAAATTTATTTTTGAAAATCCAAGTTATTTAAAAATATTAAAATTTTCATCATATAAAGTTTTAAATTAGTCCATTGCATGTCTTATTTTGTGCATATATATATATTTATATAAATTATTTTTAAAAAAATTCATTGAACCAGGGTTGAACCGATCCGATCAGTTGAATCTTGACCCAAATACCTCACCAGTTCAGTTAATGGTCTGAGTTTTAAAACATTGGGTTTAATGCCTACCTTTGAACTAAAAAGAAATTAAGTACTTTCTTCATCTTTGCCAAACGGTTGATAAAGAGAACTGAGAAGCGGAGGAGTGAGAGATTTGACTAACTAGTGCACCACCAATTAACACGGTAATCATTGACCAAAAGCAAAAAGTAAGAGAGAAATTCTTGGTCTAATCTACCCCTAAACCCAAGTAAAAGATTTAATTGGATATTTCTTGACTTTTGAGGCAATTCAGCTTGAGTTTGTTCGAAAAAAGAATTTCTTTTTTGGGATACATGTATGTTACTATTGTTGTAAAGAGAAATTTACACTCATAATTTCACTATCAGAACAAATCTATTTCATATTATTTAATCATCGTGTGATTAAATAAATCTTCGTTCCATCAAACACGAGCATCAATTGCAACAATAATTTGTACTTTGGTTTTCTAAAACGTTTCACGCCATGGTTTAGAAGCAAGAGCACGTAGACTTTTCAGAATTTTATTGTTGTCTTCTTGCTTATGGAGAATATTTAACTTCTCCTTCATTTTGTGTAATTATGAAACTAGCTTGTAATATTTTCTTGTGGGTACCAATAGCAAGTTAGCAACTATAACTTGGTTTAATTAAATCATCATCTTGGTCCTAATAATAACATACCTCTTTATCTTGAAACGTGGAATTAACTCGTTAACCTTATCTAATCATGCAATTGACACTGCATGATGGTGATTTCTTGTGGATTAGCCTCGAGTTTGGATGACACGTACGATGATATCCATGAAAAGGCCAAGGTGATCAGAAAGGTTAAAATATATTTTATTTTATCGAACTATAATAATAAGTTAGATGTGGTTGGAAAAACACATTATTGTTATTACCTGAAACATTAAGCTCCTAGATTTACAAAACAAATACTCTATTGTTTGAACTTGACTGTATCGAGGACAAATGATGACTATTAAATTTCAGATTTCATTGAGAGACAATTTATGTTTTTGCCAAACATTATTGATCCTTTCGATCTATTATTTCCGTGTCATGTTTGATAATGTATTTTCTGTGATTAATACAGATTTCATAAATAAAATGATGATTTTTATTTATTTATTTATATATATATATATATATATATATCAAAAAAGCAATCTCTAATTCTTTAACCTTTCTTACAAGTGTAATAAAATGATTTGATGATAGGTAGAGGTATTATTCCAATTCCAAGGTACCTTACTAATTTATACATTTCTTTTCCCTTTCTAACCTTCTTTTTCACCCTTTATACAAGTGTACAAGAGTAACACGACCAACTCATTCTTTATAAACTTTTTACCTAATCAACATGATTATGGGCCTTAAAGCAACGGCAGTATGCCAAATCTGTTTTCCCACCCTTAGTCTGTTTATTCCCCACATTTCAGAAAGTTTTTTTTTCCTTAGTCCTAAATATATTTTTTTTCAATCCAATCATTTAACTTTTTAATAATAAAGAAATAAAAAGATTGAATGGTACAGAAATTGTTGCCAATAAGTAGTATTTAGAAACTTTATATTTCTAAAAAGCTACAAGAACACTCGAACCAGAAATGATCGTAAGACCTTTCGACAATTACAAAAACATGAAGTACAACGATTCAAGAAAGTAATATATAAACAACATTTTCAGCTTGAGACCATGGTTATCGTTTGCTTGAAGTTGCATCCATCATGCTAGCTAGACAAGATTGACGTTTAACCTACTTTACATTCGTTTTAGTGCTTCGTAACAATATAATTTCCTTCAAAACAATTAAATCTCTTCCCTTATTTACAAACCAACACTTTCTCTGAAAAGAAATCATACACAAGACACTCAAAAAACTCAACTACCACCATCACTTCTCATAATTTAGAGCAAAACCTAAGAGATCTAGCTTGCAAAATTGACAATAAAATTATGACTACAAGACTTTAATCATGGTTGCAGGGTGCAAGGTTTTCAAATTATCCGAGAAATCAAAGGTAAGCATGGAGGCCTTGGGCCTTGATGGCCTGATTTCCTTATGCAATTCAGGCAAGGTTAATGTTGGTTGCTTTTCAGGTTTGCCAAGCCACTTTGCTTGCATGTATTTATGCTTCCTCCATGGTGCCATATGCATTTTATTCTCCTTCATGCACTTCTTTGATGCAGAGCACAATATTTTGATCAGAGTTTTCAGTCTTTCAGTCTTTCCAATATATACATCGGGCAATCGTTCAAGTAGCCGGTTATATTCCTCACAACCTCTTGCCATCATGAATTCTGACTTGAAATTCAACTCAATGATCACCTTCACTTCACCTTTAGATGTTGTGTTTTGAACAACTTCCAAGTAGGTATGCTCTCCTAAGCAATTAGCAAGATTTGGTTTAGTTAAGAAGACTAATAAGATAGCATCTATTGTTTCATATCAATTTGAAGTCAAGAAAAACACACTCACGCAAAAAACAAAAAACCATCAAATGTTGTAACGTGCTTTATTAGCCATCATTAGGAAAGATACGTGCAAAATTGTTCTGAAACTTAAACTCATTGTATTGCTATATATAGAACCATTACAGATAAGGTCCACTCAATGGATAAAGATGTGCATATGGGTAAAGTTTCCAACGTATATAGTAGTAATTTAAACATTTTATTCCCAAAAGTGTGACATGCTGGACCCAAAGAATGAGACACTTAGGGACCACATTTCTAGCACTAAAGTAGAAAATTTGGTCCTAACAAATGAAATTTAGTAAGCAAAATGCTACTCATAATAGTTTATTTTGTTGCAATCGCATAATGTCAATTCAATTAAGTAATAATAAATTTAACTCAACCTACCGGCTGGAATTTCCTGTGAGCTTTTCCACTTGGACTTGCAAATGGTGCAACTAAATCCATCTTTCTGAAGCCGATCGCAGACTTCTTTTAGCATGCATTTCCGGCAGCCATCAACAGCCCTATTCTGGCAGGCACAATTAACACAAATGGTATTTAACTCCATTAAAGCTTCCTTTGTTGCCTTCCTGATTTTTGATTCAAAAGAAGTGGTCCTACGTAAAGTTGACTGCATTCGAAAACAACCAAGAATATGAATGTAAAATTTCAATTCATATTAAACAAAGGAAAACAGAAGCAAGAAAAAGCAGCCAAATATATATGTCATAAATTACCAGCAAAAGCTCCTCCTGGGAATCCCAAAAGGCCTTGGCCGCATCAGCCTTGCAACCATTTCCTTCGGTGTCAGCAGCCGCCGCCGCCTCGTCATCCTCCTCCACAGCCTCATGATAAACGCCTTCTCCACCATCAAAGCCAGTGCTAGAAGAACAGCACGATGAACTACCAGATGAAAACTCCTCAACTTCATCAAAGAAGTGAAAAATCATTTCCCCAACAGCTCGGGATTCATAAATATTCGTATCACCAAATTTTGCTGCTATTTGCTCTAAAATTTCTTTGGAAACCACTTGAATTTTGTTTGTGGCAGCCATGATAATGATTTCTTGAGATGCTATGGAATGAAACTGCTTTTGCTACATGAAATTTAGCAAGAAAGAAATGCACGTGAAAAATGGTCCTAGAGGCTAAGGTATTTATATAGAGGGGCACATTCGGGCCCAAAGGTGACTCACATACTGGCCGCCGCGGCGCTCATGATTATCTATATATTTTCTTGGAAGGCATCCCTCTACACTACCAGACTAGGAATAATTGATGTAAAACAAATATGGATATTCTATAGCTTGTTAGTGAATATAGGATGTACCCTTTTTTATGCCTAGCAAATATGAAATTACCGCTAGTCATATTCAAATTTACTCCAACAGGGTATATTATGCACTCTTTAACTAAGGTTCTGTAGGATACAAGTAATACTCTATTATTAAGTATAACATAGTTAATGTATAGTTACAGTATAACCTTTATCCTTTCTCTTGGGTCTAGATATCCTTTGCAGTTACGGGTGCAAACTAAAATCACGGTTGGCACTTTGAACGATTAAGATTGATCTGATTCAAGATCATTTTGAAATCTGTTCAGCCCATCTCGATCGTTAAAAGTCCTTTCCGGTTGCACTTGCAGTCACAGAGGATCAGCATCCCCTCTTTAAATAATTAACTTATTTGTTTAAGCATATTAAATGGCTTGAATAATGGGAAGTAGAAGCCCATTAACTGTAATTACGATTTCGTTTGTAGGCTTAAATTCCAATGTTCACGAGTTTTTGGCCAAAACAATCAACTTCTCAAAGAATAATCCCAAAGTCATTCTTTTCCTATTTTTATTCCCTTGTTAATCCATTTATTGCCACATAGGATCCCTATTAAAAGAAAAGAATCACTTGTAATTATTTTTTCCTCATATTCAAGCTTTTTTTGTTTCTATTTGGTGCCCCAGGAAAGTAAATCCATATTAATTAATGCTTTAAAATTATCAACTATCCCTTGAATTGCAACAATTTTGCTAAAGAAATTTAAGAAAAGAGCAGAAACACATATGGTATTTTTTGGTGTTAACTTCTTCTGATTTTTATCTTCTTCTTTTTTCTTTTTAAGGTAGCTGCATAAACTTTTCTTCCTTTTTTTGGAGAAAAAAAATAACTTATAGGTATATTTTATAGAAGTAGGTTGATAGGTTGGCTCCTATCCTCATTTGCCAGAAGGATAGGACATTAGCACCAATGTCAGTTACTACTTAGTAGATTCAAGAAACGTTAGAATAGACATTCCAATCGCTTATGCGAACATTAGTAGGAGAGCAGAAATGGCCCTTGGGCATCTGAATTATTCCCATTTCCAGATCTCATTTTTCTTAGTTTATTTACTTCAAAATGGACCTTCCCATGCTGCAGGCACAAGTGCATGACTAAATTCACAACTATGAACCTGCCCATCCTGCTGGTATAAGATACTTTCTTGGAGCTATCTGAGAGACATCAAGGTTCTATTATCACTGTTGAGGATGAACAGATTAATACCTGTCCCAGCTGTCCATCTTTGTCTCTCTATCTCTCCCTCTTTCTGTCTTTTCAAAAAAAAAGAATGATCCATTCAGGCTACTAGATTGTAGAGAGGACAAAATGGCTTAATAATTTTGTCTGTAATTTGCACTTTAACCCCCAAGGTTTGCTTAATATCTCTTTGCCCCTTGAGTTATTGAATGTAGGCAGACTATTTTGGCTTACAGTTTCTTTAAAATGATTTATGTTTAATTACTTTGACTAGCTAAAAGAACAGTAACCAGATCTAGATATGATCCTATCATGTATTTATATTCTAAAGTGTTCTTAATAATCCTATAATCAATTGTTTAGCACCTTATAAGGATCAAATGATAAAATATTACACGAAATAAAACAAAAAAAAACAGTAACCAGATCTTATCATGTATTTATATTCTAAAGTGTTCTTAATAATCATATAATCAACTGCTGAGCACCTTATAAGGGTCAAATTATAAAGTATTACACAAAATAAAACCAAAAAGTTTGTACTTAAAGAATAGGAGTTAGTCATGGTGCGACAAATTGCACCACCGAGTTACGTATTCTTTATCGTGAGTTAAAGATGTTTAAAGACTTCCTTAAGAAGCTGTAAGAAAGGTAAGGAATAGATTATATTATGATTAAAACTATTGTTTGGGAGCCCTCCCAGGCCTCCCTTCACTTGTTGGTCCCCCATGGAATCCCAACCCATGGGGGGAATTCCTTCAAGCGCCGGGGGCTAAAGTTACAGGACTGTTATGATAAATAACTTAAAGTATAACTCAAAGTAGGGTTTCATATTAACGTAGGACCAAGAAGACTTTCGGATCAACTATGACGAATACGCTACTTCTTCTATTGTGACGGAGTTCAAATCTCAGTCACTAGCTTATGAGTAATGTGCTTAACACTAGCTTGCCGTCCCTCCTTGAACTAAAATTAAAAGGCAAAAATCTTGTTTCTTGGCTTTGAGTTTTACGCCAATATGTTTTCTGAGTTTTCTATCCCAGGTCTGTGGATTAACCCCAAACGGTCGAGAAATGGAAGAGGTGTAGTACAGAAGTAGGACTTTTATGAAGATAATTAACTTGTAGGGACACTTTAATGTAGTAGTAGAAACTACAAAAATAATCTACAGGAGAATTCGATGGTCAAGAGAGGGTGATTTTGGGTTCAGTTTTCCTCATACTATGTCTGCTGACATGATTAACATCATTAGGGGACTTCCATTGGTATCGGTATGGGGGATCTAGTGTTATTCCTATTAAATCTGATGAAATCCAAATGCCAGTGGGGCTAATTTATATGGTATCTGAACAAAATAAACACATTTTTAAGGCCTAACGAACTTGCGATTTACAACTATTCACTCTGGAGAAAATAAAATATTTACCAAAATGAAACCATTGAAGTGGCGAGCTATTCATTCACCTAGTCGAGAAGAATGAAAGAAAAGAAGTGAAAAGAATCAGAATCAAAAGACAAGGATCCCAAATAATTTAGAGTACGTAGTTTGATTAATCCTAGTTAAAAATGATATAGCTGCTTTGATTAAGTTCCTATCCTAACCAGTTGGCATGCAAAAAGGACCTCCAAAAGCACAGAGAAAAATGTCATCCATAAAATTGATTCAGGCCAAAATGGATTTAAAAGTTGTACATGTTAGTGATAGAGGCTAGTACAATATAGGAAAGAATAAATACAAACTGGAAAGAAAGAAATGATTGAAAATAACAATCTGAAACTTGTGAGCACAATTTCCTTAAAACAGATTCGCCCCCTACAGGTTGAGTGCTTGAGGTTCAATAGGTGTCTGTCTCCCAAGATACAACGGATTAAAGGTGAAAATGTTAGCACCAAACTTCTTCACAACAGCGAACTCGAACTAGAGCAATATGGAACACTATAAAAGATGAAGATGCAAGAAGGAAAAATAAAGAGAGCGATTGTTTTTGAAACAAAAAGAGAGTCATCTATTTATAGATGCTGGCCAAGGGTGATTGTAGAAATTGGAAACAAATGTTAAATTCCACTTAATTATCTTTTCACGTACATACATGTATTCTTGATAAGAAAGCTCCAAATTCATGTATCAATAATTAAGTACATAAATACTTAATTCCTAAGTACATGAATCCTTTCTCGAGAAGAAAACTTCAAATTCATGTATCAATAATTAAGTACATAAATACTTAATTTCTAAGTACATGAATCTTCAGGTACATGAATGATAGATAATTATCCTTGGATTCTATTGATAAGTGACTAATTTACGTAATAATTGTATGACATTTTATATTATTTTTAGTCACTTTGGTTATATTATTGGAAGAATATGAATCATTTTGGCTATAATTGGTGAATAAATGTTTTTAAGTGATTAAATGAGGTTTTTATCACTTTTTACTTGGATTTTGTGTATTTTGACAGTTTTGACACATTTTCGTATTTTGGCTATAACTTGAGTTACAATGATCGGATTGGGATGATTCTTGAACCCATTTGAAGATAAGAGATAGATCTACAACTTTGGTGAAGACATCTAAATCCAGTTTGAATGTTTTCCAGGTCAAAATGCCGAATTACAATAGCAAATTTCTACTGGTCGAAGCTGGAACAGGGCAATGAGCAGGCAAGGGTATTTCAGTCATATCTCAGCCTACACAGATCCAAATGAGGTGATTCTTGATGCATTAGAAAGATAACTCAAAAGGCTACAACTTTCGTGTTTTAGACATGAGCTGGTTCAGCCTCTAACATCAAGAAAAGATTGGTTGAAATTGGGCCAAAAACAGAGCAAGTGATCCACACTCGGATCCACTATTCATCCGAACCCTCGGTTGTTTCTGGGTTAGTGGAACCGAGCTCGGATCCATACGGATCCGAGGTACTGTAGCAGCTCGGATCACTGGCCGGATTGTGGTCAGAAAAGGCTGCTCTGTACGCGTAAAACTCAATTTCACCTCCACCAACTCACATTGGATGCTAGACATGTGAGAAACATTCCCAGCTGTAAAAGGGAGATGTAATCCTCATTTTTTGACCACCTTTCATCATAAAAGAGCCAAATTCATTGCAAAAAGGAGATTGGGAGTCCATAGCAAAAAAAATAGAGAGTGAGCTACGGGAGAAAGCTTGAAGCTGCAGAAATGTAGCTTTTTCATCTCTCTAGTGTTAGTTTAGTTTAGTATAGAGTAGTGTAGCTTTCCATTCTTGTTTATTATCTAGATTAGGATGAAGATGGAGGATGAAGAAGGCAAGGAAGAAAGCTCATGTGACAAGGGTTATATTCCTTCCAAACTCTTTATCTTTTGTATTTGATTCCAAGTTTAGTTAATATATAAGTTCTGGATTTTGTGTTCATTATGTGTTTCTAAAGTTTATACCTTGGGTTTGGTTGAACTTTCTATGATTGTTAGTGTTAATTGTTTGGTTATTTGATTGCTACGATTTGAGCAAGTTATTTAGCACTTTGGCTCTTTAAATCATGATTAATCTGGTACCATTAATTGTGATTATCTAAGGTGTTGTTTCTGCAATGGAAATTGAGATTTAACACTAGTTCAAGAAGTGCTA